ACCGGGGTGACATTGGACAATTTTGAGGTAAACACATCAATATTTTCGTTAATAATAGTTTTTATTATTTCTTTGCTTTTTGTGCATTGCAATTGATACATAACGAATACATAGACATCATGAAATTTTACAGTTGATGATGTTGAAATGTATATTTTTTTGGATTTTTGTTGTCCCAACTCGCCCCGCACTTCGGGGCGAGTTTGGATAGCTGTTTAAACGCCATATATTTTGAAGTCAACATGACTAAAGAGTAAGATAGGACAATAATTTAGTTTTTAAAAAATAAATTATAAGTCAGAATGTATATAGAAAAAAAAACAGTTGTTTATATGTTAAAATATTTATTTTCATCATAACATAAGCATATGAAGACAACATGACACTGTGTTTGCCTAAATAAATATAAAAAAAATAAATATGTTCTATAAAAAACTATAAAACTTTAGGGTTTATCCTAACATCACCTTAAGGCAGTTAAAAAACAGATTATTAAATCTGAAGTGTTCCCTTCTTAGTTCCTTAGGATTCTCTAATTTTTATACAATTTGTTCCATATCAACTGTAGCGATATTAAGATATGTAGTAAGCTACAGGATAAATAAATGTGTCATTTTTTGTATCTATAGGTCTCAAAATCTGCTTTAATTTTTACATTTGTATTTTGAGAGGTGAGATGTGCATTCTAAAACTTTGGCAACAAATTTTAAATGATTGCTCTTATTACCCACGACGAATTTTCCATATCCTGGACCTGTTGAATTTCTTCATCCATATATTTTAGTTGGTAATTCGCATAGGGCCTGGTTCCTAACGTTTTTTATATGTTTGCACCATGGCCAATCTCACCCCTAAAAAAATGTCGTTGACAATTTTTTTTAATTATACAAAAATCATAAAAGATAAAAATTTGAAACTTGCACAACCTAATAGCAGGATCTATAGGTTATATTATTTTTATACAATTTATACTTCAGTCATTAGTACTACATAACTGTAGTATAAAGTTTATCGGTTCTTAAAAGTATAAACATTTCTTACCTGTTAGACAATACTCAAAATCAATCGTCGCAAAAAATTTTAAATAAATACAAACACCCACGTTAACTTCACATGGATTATTAAACATGTGGTCAATACAAAATGGCCAATCCCATCATGATGTCCAATGTAACCCCAATTTACGGTACCTACCTTTGTATAATAAATTAAACTTAAAACACATATCTGAACTATAAAATGGTTCAAATACTTTAAGCTTTCATGATATTAGAAAGTTTTTCTACTTTTTATTTTTAAATATTAATTTCAAACTTTTATACTTGAGAAAAACTTCTGATGATGGCTCAAATGTGTTCGAAACGTGACTAACACTTCACTAATAACAAATTCATAATTAAAAATACTTCTTTGTACATATCACATTAAAATACAGACCATTATTTAAAAATATGAACTTAATGAAAAACAAAACCTGAGATGGAAAAGTTCACAGAATGTGCTGTGAATGAATGTTCTCTTTGCTTTAACTCTGATAATGACATAAACTAGAAAATAGAACTAGAATAATAACTCGAAATGCCACAATTTGTGGGACAATAGAGGTATTGAGCTGCCTGAAACATGCATTCATCAGAATAAAATATGCTGTTAAATTTTATTAAAATCTAATGATTTGTAGGAGAAACAATGTCAACATTCTTCAGTCATTTCTTATTTGTGGCCCTACTCACAGAATTGTTGTGATGCCACCTGAACTTCAGAAAATCCTAGGTGAAGTAGAAGAGCACCTGAAACAGCAAATCACTTCGATCAAATCTGCTGTTCAAATTAATTCTTCCATGGTTAGTCCTTGCACATCCTTTTAATACAGACTTTAAATAAATGTTATCAAACATTTTACTCATTCCTAGTATGATTCAAATAAAACAAATTTTAGTTAGTATGGATCTACAATCCAATTGTTTCAGAGATATCCTTGAGTGATATAGGTATTGGATTGTCAGGTTTTGTTGACTAAGACTTAACTTGTTTATTTTAATGGGTACTATAAGTGGGTAAAGTATTGGACATTTGTAAACTTTTATATTTATTTGGTTTAATGTCTTTCCCTTTTATTTTTTAGAACAAGATACCCGACAAATGGCAAAATTACCGCAGGCAATTGTGGATGTACTTCTACACTGACCCTAAGAAGATGTTCCTTATATTGCAAGAAATCGAAGAAGAGTTCAAAAGTAAAAGTTCAGTTTAGTTGATAATGAAAGAAAGTATGTTATGTTTATAAATTTTTCCAATTTTTTTAAATAATTAAAAACAAAATTATTGTGACTTTTTTAAAATGACAGCATAGTACATAAATTAATCCATTTCAGTACTCCGTAACTGCAGATACTTTGGAACAAATTAAACCAAACCCATTTTTATCTAAAATTGCTTCGTTTAGCAGCTAGAGGCCGCCAAAGTTGGCAAAAAATTTAAGTTTGCTCTAAATAACTCTAAAATCGTTCGTTTGGTTTGAATGGAATTTTAATGTTACCACTCACACAGGGTGATTCAGTTATAATGTTATTAATTTTAAGGGGAGATAGGGAAAAATAAGTAGAATACGAATACGCGATTAAAAAAATTTTAAAATGCATATGTATATACTGAAAAAAAATATTTTCAAGTCATTATTTAAACTCCTTTTTGGACCACACTTGACTGCTGACCTACAAAGATTTATCGAGAGTGAATCTTGATCTACCGTAATATTCGGTCATTAACCTAGCGTTTAATGTGTTTTTAATAAATAAACAGAACTTTTTAGCTAGACATATAAATCAATAAGACATTTTTTTACGTTTTAAATATTAACTAGTATTATTTATTTGTTAATAAAAACAAATGAATACCTAAGGAAGATAATTGTTTTCGAATACTAGGTTATACAATTTAGTGTTTTCAATATTGTTAACGTTTTCACTACATTTTATAATTGAATATGAATTTTTTGTATTATGTTCAATTAATTACTCAGTTTGTAGTACATATACCTTATTGTGTGACTTATTGCTGTTCAAAGAGTTGTGTGGTACTTACCTACTTAAAATGCCTGTACGGCTAATACAACACATCCGTCCATAGCACTTTCTTAATAAAATGATGGTCCACTTTACTTTGAATTTGAAAGCATTTGTAAAATTTAAGAAGACTAATAAATCAGCTGTTTCAGTTTAACATTCGAACGCTTTGTACTCTGCTGGACAGTGCATTCCCTATTGCCAAGCAGGGCACCTACTTAAAAGGAGTTAATTGGTAATTTGCTCACTTTTTAAAAGGTCGGGAAATTTTTCTTTTTCAATTTTTTCTCTTTATTTGGCCTTCCGAATACATGGTTAAAATTAACGACATTATGATTGAATCACCCTATATACAGATATCATTTTTTGATACACAGCAGATATCCTCTTAATTGCAGACATTTACAGCGAATCCTACAGCAGGTAAATAATGAGAAAAAGAATAGGTTTTATTTTATTTAATACTCTAATATTAAAGTAAAGCAGTACATAATAATCAGAAAGCATAAAAAGATTTAATCAGCAGTAACTAAAAATATGTGAGTACGTGGATGAAAAAACACTAGTATGTATTAAATTTTTTGAGGTGGCAAATACAAATGTGCAAATAGTGTTGAGGTCACGTCCAGGGGGCGCTAGTTGTATTGTCCTGTCGATGTAAAAATATGTGTAACATTTTATATTTTACAATTTTGAATTTTTTAACTATAAATTATTGAACTACGTTCAATTCCAAATAAAAAAGGTATACTTGTTACTAATCGATAAACGCAACTGTTTTCGAGATACAGACGTTTTAAGTTTTTGAGATTCGACGGGAATTAAATTAGAAAATTATTTTTTCCAAAGTAGTAGGCATTGACATAAAAAATTGACAGCTGTCACTACAATACCATATTGTTTCTGCCAATTCTACTCAATTTGATTAGGAAGCAGTTTTTTTGTTGTAGTTATTTTTTAGAGAAGAGAATATCGTAATAGAAATTTCCTGCACCGTTGGATTGGACGTGGTAGCGAAGTACCTTGGCCTGCACGTAGACCTGCTTTAAATCCGCTGGATTTTTATTTTTGGGGATATCTTAAATCTTTAGTTTACAAAAACATTATTAGTGGCCAAATATTTGAGAATCACTTCATATTATCAAACAACATAGAACTTTATGTAACGTCAGACAAAATTTAAATAAAAGGCTAATAAAGTACATACCAGATCTACTCTTATTTAGTCCGGTCAAATTAGACCAAAAAATAAAAGTGAAAGTACATAAATTTACGACAAGCTGAAAGTGAGTAAAATTGTTTAAAACATAATTAAAAATAACATATTAAAATTCCTCATCGTTCCTGTACTTCGAAAAAAATTACTCGAGGTCAAAGGTCAAAAAAATGTTTTTTTCGCGATTTTCAGCTAAACGATAAGTTTTATCATAAAATTACATCATACAAAAATTCAGAGAATTCGGAGGTTACAGCTGATTTTCAGCTTCAATGACTGTACTTATACGAGTAGAACTACTTTTTGTATTTAAATTTATGCGAATTTGGATGCAAATTTTTTGCAGGACTTCCTCTAGTCAGACTAACATTGCACCTTGTTGATTAATCTGTTTTTTAGTATTTTAAAATTTTCATCATAAATTTCTTCCCAGTGTTAAATATAACAGGTACTAGATGCAATGCAATGCTTACAAGATATTCGCAGAAGATAAATAAATAAATAAATAACTTTTATTTTCCTTAAAGACTTTGTAATCAAGTATGGGAATAGTCAATAATACAAAAAAGGGAGGAGAAAAGCCATAAATTCTTATACTAAAAGAATTCAGTAATGTTATATATATATATTTGTCAATTAAATAATATTTTAACTTAGATTTAAACCTACCGAGATTCTCAATCATTTTTATTTCCAAGGGCAAGTTATTAAACACCCTGGGTCCAAACACAAAAGGAGATTTTACAGACACATTATAATTACTATAAGGCACACAAAAAGTATTACATTGTCTAGTTTTATAAGTCTGCAAAGCATTAAAATGATTTTTGTTATTGAAAATGAAAACACATAATTCAAAGATGTAAAGACTCGGAAGCGTTAATATTTTATATTCCTTAAAAATATTTTTACAAGATTGTCTACTTGTTGCACCTGCTATATATCTAAGAATACGTTTTTGTGCTACAAATACACTTTTCGCAGTTACAGAATTTCCCCAAAATATTATACCATATCTCAGCCTCAGATTAAAAAAAAATGTTCATGCAAAAAATTTTTCAGTATCATTTGATGTAAAAAAACAGTCATAATTAATTTTTATGAATATATCACTCTTCGGAACAGCACATTGTATACAAAATGCTTATTCGATTATGTGCCTATTAAAGTGGTAGACATTTGAATAGTTACTGTTAACTTTTTAGTGCTTTCTCTGTATTTATGTATTATTAATTTTTCTATTATTAGTATGCTTTTCCTATGCCATGTGCCAATCCATTGATCATGCTTTCACAAATAAATAATAAATTATTAATATTTAGATAACTTTTGCGTTAAATGACCCCTCAAATATCTTTTTTACATTCCATTTTCATCTTGAAATTTTCAGTACCATATGGTATCCATTTCTTAAAACAAAAAATATGAAAGAATGTAATATCTAGTAAATAATAAGTAGATGCCAAGATACCTTAATAAAGTCAAAACAAAATTGAATTTTGCATCAATGTTCCATTTAAAAAAATCAAGACCCATGATTATTATTAACCATTATTAAACACATTTTTGATATAATCGGATGAAAAATTTGATTGATTTTTTTATTTTATTTATTTATTTATTTATTTATCTTGTTGTGGACAAAAAAGGATTGTATAACAATAGTCAAATAAACATATAATAACTTAACCTAAGACACAACAGCGGAAAAAAATTCCAATAAAGAATAAAAACACTTATCTACTAAAAATATTTTCAGTTTTTGTTTAAATTGAGATATAGTAATCTTATCAGTCTTGAGTTCATTCGGTAAATGGTTATATATCTTAAATCTCAAACAATCTGGTGAATTAGCTGTTATGGTATATTTTGCAAAAGGAATTCGGATNGTCTTGGGGTCTTCTTAGGAGCTTGTTCAATTTGCAGTCTTTCAAATTTCTCTTTTTGTTTCTTCTTGGTTAGCTCGAAATCGGTTTCTGCTCTAAATTCTGATATCTTATCCAAGGTCTCCCATAGTGTTGGATGAAGTGTACTGCTCAGGATTAAGTGAAGTTTGTAAAGATTAGTGTTTACTTGGTTTAGGTCTCTCCTGGCGTCGTGAATGGCTTCTCTTATTAGTGCTAGGCTCGCTCTCCTTAGGATATTTCTCGTCTGGTTATTCTTCTTGTGGAATGTTAATTTCAAACTCTTTGGTATAATATTCTCGTCTCGGCAGCGTTCCAGGAATGTTAGGTTGCACAGCAGCTTGCTTCTCTTTGATCGAAGTTTTTCAAACTTCTTGATGTTGGATAGATTTTCCTCCCCGTTGAGGTTGATTATGTTGAACTTCAGATTTCCGCGGATATTATATGTGTTGTCAAGATGTTTCCGGGTTCCTCTCCGCGTATGGTTTTCTTGATTCTGGATAGAATCGTGTTCTGGACGACGTTTCGGCAAGATCACACTTGCCATTTTCAAGTCTTCTTTGTTCTACTTCGTGTAATACGTTGTTCACAAGACTTGAAAATGGCAAGTGTGATCTTGCCGAAACGTCGTCCAGAACACGATTCTATCCAGAATCAAGAAAACCATACGCGGAGAGGAATCCGGAAACATCTTGACAACACATATATATATTTAACAATTGTTGTTCATGCAAAATTTCTTTCATGCACTTCATTAAGTAGCTTACTGAACTTAATGTAGATATAAGATTATTGCAATGCATTTTCCAATTTAATGTATCATCCAAAGTAACTCCTAAAAATTTGACACAGTCTGTTTCATCATTGGTAATACTACAGTTGTTAATATTTGCCGCAACAGACTCGCATTTTTTTGCCTATTGTGAAATCTAATTAATTTAGTTTTGTCGGTATTTAAATATAAGTTATTACAACTGAACCACTTAGACACATTGTACAATGTATTTTCTAGATTAGTAGTCAGGTCTTTTGTTGACTTATTTGAAATAATTAATGATAAACCATCAGCATACATTTTTACAATAAAAATTAAATATTGCATTATGGAATTCAGAAAGTTGTAATTAAAAATAATAATAACATTCATCTCAGACTCCTCTCTTCTAAAAGTTGCTCATATTTTATGTTTTAGTTTTTTGGAAAAAATAAACAATGATGCCGACTTTGGCACCCTCTAGTGACTAAATAAAGCAACATTTGGCCAAGTGTAGTGGCTCTAAAACCACTGTAGGGACAAGTTGAATTAACTCGTTTAATGTTTTGACCTTAAGAAACTGTATATGGTGTGTTAGAACACACGGTATATGAATAAATTGAACATTAATGTTCATTTGATTTTATTCATAGGCCATGATGCACCTAAAAAATTGCTGACCAGGGCAATCACAAAATGTAAATTTGAATATTTAAATTTAGTAGTCCACCTGTGTGTGCACTGACCTATTCAGAAAAAATTGCCCAACTTCTGCCCACACAATTTCTTAGAAAGTATAAAATGCAGACATGAAATGAAAGTATGGAGACTGAAACAAGTATAAAAACTATTAAAAATTTATTAAAAATACATAGAGTAGAGCGTATAAAATATTATCGCAATTATGGAACCTATATAAATCACATATAAAAAGAGTTCAAGCATAGTTTGCATAGTCATAATCATTTTTTCTAAAATAATTTTGAGGATAGTGTTCCTCATCAGCATCCATATTAACATGGATGGGGTTGCTTAAGTCGATATTGAACTGATGTGTTCCACTAGCCTGGTTAGAACTTCCTGCAACAGGAAAATCAAATAAAGATGCCATTAATTTAGCGTTAAAACTATTGACAGACTTATTTTTCTACATGCATAAATTTTTTAAATAAGATTACATGCAAAGCCTTCATAAATAATTACAAGCCACATGATCTTCGAACTTCGGCAACCAACATTGCACGATTGACACTGAATTAAAAATTCCTAAATCTTACGGCCGGTACTTTGAGTTTCGGTTAAAACTTGATTAACTTGATTAATCAGGCGATTAGACTGTACATATACTAATTCATTTTATAATAGTACATTCACAGTCTAATCGCTTGATTAGTTAATCAAGCCTTAAACGAGACTCAAAGTACCGGGCCTTAGCGTTACCAATATTAATGATTCCTTTACGACAAACAGTAATAAACCATCTACACTCAAAATAATGCAATCGCTGAACACATTTGTGTTTTAATTTTACTGTTTTAATAATTTTTAATTTTACCGAAATTTAATTGTCAACGTAAAGGAATAAAATTACTGTTTCAAACAAAATTACTGTCCACGTGGCTTGTAATTTATGAAGACTCTGTACATCAGTGTAATTAAAATAATGTAATTAAAATATTTTGCCAAATTTTAATGGTGGATAAATTAACAAAAAAAAAGTTCCTATAAACTTGTGTCTTAAAATTCTTGTGCCCTCATAATAGTGAGTGAAATTTCAAATAGCTTGAAAGAAAAAAAAATTTTTATGTGCCCTTGAAAACATGTTTCTGTATCTAACAAACCTTATTTATGCCCTTTTAAGGACAATAAAAAATTAGTGCTAGATGTCAAATGTGAAGAAAATCACTTTAGTTTTTTTGTCACTTAAAAAAATTAAGTTTTCTCAAGTTTAATCCCTGTATTACAAAGAAAAATCATTTCTGGATAGGTGTTTATATGGCGAATAATTTTTGGTGTTTCATGGAGAGGACTTTTGAAATAAATAATATTTCTTCTGAATACAATCTATTAATTCGTTTTGAATGGTTTGTATGAACCTAATCTGATTTTACTGTTTACAAAAAGTTAGGAATTTTACAATAATAAAATGAAAATTATTATATTTTTTAGTATTCGTCCTTCAACAGGTGTGCGTAACAGCTTTTGCCTTTTTATTTGTGGTGCAAACTGTTTTGTGTTTGTTGTTGTTTGGTGTTTCATTTCAATCACTGGGCGACTAATTTTCACCAGCAGTAGGCCCTGTACTTCATTATCAAAATATAAATATGATTTTTTAACAATCGCTCTCAAGTTGAAAAATCAATGTTAAATTTAATACATTGGGCTATTGGTAACTACAAATTTACAAACAAAATTTGTATTGACTGAAACCCAAAATATTGCCTGCCCAAAATATCGCCTTATAATATAATATATAAAAAAAAATTTGTTAACAAATACGGTTATTTAAGATATAATTAATTACCATCAATCACTTCTTGGTGATACGGAGCCTAAATTCACATTTTCCAAGAGAATTAATTCGATTTTCTTTACCAAAGTGGCTACAAAAATATGAATTCGAAACAATCTATTTTTTTCTCATCCTATTTCATTTCACCAAAAGCCAATATGTATAAATAAAGATTATGTAGTAATTTTCTCACCTAATAATGTTTTATTTAGTTCACTTATTATTTCTTCCAATTGCTTTTCATCCAATTTGGCAGTAATCTTTGTGGCATTATTGTTCTCAAGAGATCTTCGAGATCTGGATAAAAGTGGCAAGGTAAACTCACTTTCTGACAGTGGAGTATCATCTGATCCAAATTCCTAAAATATTTATTATTATTAATCGTCAATATATTGGGAAGTTATCGGAAAACATAAAGAAAACGTGTTTAGATTTATGTAAAACATAAATATATTTGTGACAGCCACTTACCAAACATTTTCCACTCACACAGTATGCTTTTTTGTCTGAGTTTCCTCTTGAGCAATCTGTTCCGAAGGGAAACCAACCTTCTTCACCATTAACTAAGTAGAAACGGTGCGAAATTGAATCATCTTGGCAAGCTACTCGGCATGGCCTATCGGGATCCTCTGTTGGATAAAACGTTATTAAATAAGCACAAATGAAAATTTACTTTTAATCATACACAATTTATTTAATTGATAAACTAAAAATTAAAGAGATAAGAACTAAGTATGAGATTAAAAGAAAAGGAATTAGTGTTTTATTAAGGAATTTTAGTGTTAGAAATTCTCAAAATAAAAGCAAATAGTATAAATTGATGAGGAAAGTTTAGTTTTCGAGATACAGGGTTCGATACAGTTCGAATTAAAATTAGCTACTCGGCATGGCCTATCGGGATCCTCTGTTGGATAAAACGTTATTAAATAAGCACAAATGAAAATTTACTTTTAATCATACACAATTTATTTAATTGATAAACTAAAAATTAAAGAGATAAGAACTAAGTATGAGATTAAAAGAAAAGGAATTAGTGTTTTATTAAGGAATTTTAGTGTTAGAAATTCTCAAAATAAAAGCAAATAGTATAAATTGATGAGGAAAGTTTAGTTTTCGAGATACAGGGTTCGATACAGTTCGAATTAAAATTTTTGAAAACGATTTTTTGAATACTATAACTATATCATTTTTTAATGCTTATAAAACAAAATGACAATAATGAATGAAAATCATTTACAGACGGGTACCTTGACACATGGCATTTGTTAACTTATTTAAGGTCTGAATTTCAAGATAGGTCTTTTTTTTCAAGAGGACTTTTTATGCAAAATATAGCTTTTACCTTTTTAATTTAAAATTAAATATATAAAATTTATAAGTGAAAAAATATATCGCCAAGAAAGATGAGGTAAATTTTTATACAGAATAAAAAGTAAAATACCTTAAATTTAAATTTTCGGTTGTTTATTTTTAGACATTTCAAATACTTAAAAAAAATTATTTATCTCCCAATTCATATCTATAGGGACTTTTGTTCTTACTTAGAGGAATTTTGTTAATTATGAAAGTTAAAAATTAGGTAAATTGAGAGACAAATTTCTAAATCTTACCAACGGCTGGTGAAATTTGCATTCCTAATCCAGAAAGCCTTCTTACTTTTTCCTTGTATTTCGCACATACCATTGATGCATGTTGAAATGGAGACTTCACCCTACCACATCCCTAATAAAAAATATTATATTGTATCAAAATTAAAAGACTCACCAATTATATTCTTTATTCATCATTAAGTTTGTATAAATTTAAGTTGTGCCTGTTTTTAAATTTACATTGTTTGTGAATATTATGATAATTACAATTTTACCTTTGTGTCTCTGTCAGTCACAACTATTTTTTCTTTTTTACTATTTACGTTAATTTGTTAAAAAGTTACGGTTTAATTTTTTTTTTTCACAAATATACGGAAGTTATAAATTTTTATGCTGAATCCGAATTGGCAGCCAAAAACCGATTTACCAGGTAATTTTTTAATAAAATGCTAAAACATCCTCAAAATAAGGTGAAACAGTGAGTATAATAAGGTAAAGCTTTAAAATGAAATGTAACAATTTGTAAATGGTAAGTAGGTACTCGTACTTTGAGAACATTTTAAAATAATATTTTGAGCATTATAAAGAAATATATAACATATACAAATTAAATCCACACCTAAGCCTTATATACTTCTTAAAACCATAAAGTTCGGGATTAGCGACTTTGAAAACCACCGAGTAATAAGTTTCAGCTATAATCGTAAAATTTTAAATGCTTTTCCGATTTTTACATCCGCCATATTGTATTCGCCATTTTTATTCAGGAATTTTCGGATTCGTAATTAGCGACCTGAAAAACCCGCGGTAACTAAATTCAGACAGAAATATTGAATAGAAATATGAATGTATTGGGTACTTAAAGGGATAAGTGGGACCCTGATCTGTAGGTGGTATCCAACCTATTGAGGAATAAGTTATATTATATTTTTTAGTATGTTGTCTATCAACCTACATGTATACATTTGGCATTATAAAACACAACATTCGTTATTTGATTTTAGCCGTGAAATTAACCCCTCCTAGGGTTGGGGTGAATTTAATTTGAATATATTTCTTTCTACTGCTCAAACTATTATTTTAAAATGTTGCCCCAAATTGTTTCATTTCATTATCCTCACCATTTCACCATATTTTGAGGATATTTTAGCGTTTTACTTAAAATTGACCTGGTAAATTGGTTTTTAGGCTACGGAATCAGATTCAGCATAAAAAAATACACAAAATCTATATACTCATGTCTCTGGTACAGAACTTTTTTATGTGGCTGTGTAATTGATAACTGTATCTAAATTGTTTAGCAAAATATGAAACTTACAGTACGTGAATGCTTATTACAATTTTTTATATCACGAAAATTTGAGAAACCATAACACTTTTTCTTCATTTTGAAACAAACATTTTAAAGACATTATATGTATCTTTCAGACATCTCAAATGGTATTCATTTTGTTAAGATATGGAAAATTGAAATATAAAATATAATCGCACTGCATTTTTATAAAATACCACACTTTCATCATTAAATTTTACTTACATATTTGTCGGGCTGACATAGCTGAATACTTGATTTGCCGAACTTTCCTTTCAACGTAACCAGCCTTATCCCAGATCCAGGAGAAATACAGTTATAGTGACACCCACTGGCGCTCTTCCATCTAACGGCCTCCCTCCTCCTGAGATTAGTGCGCCACGTAATCTCGTTGTCATCTTTATCGATAGGACACAAATCGGGTGAAAGAGAAAATGCTGTTTCGTCGAAAGAATCACAAGTAAACTCTTCGCACTTGCCTTTGATGCAGTAGCTGGCCCTACCATATCGATTTCGTCGCGTTTGACAGGCAGTGCCATCGGGGAAGGTCCAGCCTCTACTCTTGGTGCCACCGTTCCGTTTTTGGCACCAAACCAAGCAAGCCTCCTCAGCTACAGGAACAAAGAATAATTCTCATTAGATAGTTGAATTTTTCAAATATCCAAAGAAACAATTTTATGAATGACGGTAACAACGTAACTGCTACACAAACAATTTACTGTAATACAAAGTTTAAGAAGTTTAAGAAGGCTACCAAAAATGAAACCTCGCATTCTTTGGTCAATTTTAAGGGAAGTCTTTCCTATAAAATTTTTATCTAGGACGCTTCAATAAAAACACAAACTTAAAAAAATATTTTTAATTTTTTTAAATAATTAAAAAATAAAACTAGTAGGTAAGTGAAATAATTGGGCATATGTATTTATGTAAATATTGTCCAAAATCTGAAGCCTTTTTCTAAAATTTAGATGCTTGATGCTTCAGTGGCGTTGAAAACACCGGACCTCAATCCACTGGATTTCTTTTTGTGGGGTCCTGTTAAAGAAAAGGCTGGCTGGTATATAGTGAACAAATTAATATACCTGAGCAGTTAGAAGAAAGGACAAATAATGCTTTTCATCAGATTCAAGCAATAATAATTTTCGAACAAATACATTTTCGTTACAAAAAACATGTCGCGCCTGTGGAAATAGAGGTATTTTTAAACATTCACTTAAATAAAATCATTAAAGTGATGACTAATATTATTAATTTCTTTATTCGAATAAATAACCGAATGAGTGTTTGTCATGTCATTTAAGTAAAAGTGTTTTCAATTCGTTTTTTAAGTTTTACTCGAAAATCAGAATATTTTCGAGAAACATAAGAGCATAGTAATTTATTGAAAATTGAAAGACGAATCCGAAAATATCATGATTGTTACTGTAAAGCAGTGGCGTACTATTTTATTTAGATAAATATGCCACCGATACCCTGTATCTCCGTCACTGGAACATCTAAATTTTAGAAAAAGACCCCAGACTTTGGACAATGTTTATATACATGTGCCCAATTAATTCCCTTACTAGTTTTTAAATTATTTAAAAAAATTTAAAATATTTTTTTAAGTTTAACACCCTGTGTCTTTTTCGTCCTAGATAAAAACTTTATACGAAAGACTCTCCTTAAAATTCACCAAAGAATACGAGGTTTCATTTTTGGTCACCGTTTGTGAATTACCCTGTATATCTTGTGCAACTTAAATGCTTGGCCAGACTTTAACAGCAGTTTTTATGTCACAACTTAAAAAAAAATCTATAAACATAAACATCTAGAAATCTTTAGTTTCCACAATATAGAGTTTAAAGTTAAACAAAAATTAAACAAAAGTATAGGCTCCTAGGTTTAAAATTTGTCGACTGGATCAGCTCACTTACCATACAGGGTGTCCCATAATTGCCAAAATTCTAATCACGTATTTACTTACCAAAAGAAACAACTTTTGTTTAATAATGTTTTTCTACAATTCACTTTTCAGTCAGATAATTTGTTTGCGTTAAAATAACACTAACAAGTTGCCTATAGATAAAAGAAATATCTAAGTGAAATATCTAAGAAAAATATAAGTGAAAGTTTTATTAAATATCAAATTTTTTGCTAACAAAAGGCTTTGGCACACAGAACGCGGTCTGTCGCGGCGGGCAGCATTCGCGCGAACTTCACAGCGGGAAAGCGATTTATGATGCCACACAAGCCTCGAAATTCTCGTTCCGAGTTCCCGGTTTTACCTGTTACAAGTGTATCGCTGGTCGTCACGATTTAAGTTGGCCCGCCGCGACATACCGCTTCAGTGTGACTGCTAAAATGCATTTCTGTGTAATATAAAATGCCCGCTGTCCGCAGCGATCCAAGACCGCTGCCCGCCGCGGCAGACTGCGTTCTGTGTGTCAAAGCCTTAAATACTAAATACCAGCATTAACTCCCAAACAAATTGTTAAATTATAGAATCCGTAATGTCAAACATTTTAGTTACCTACACAATATTTTGTGGTTTATTTGAACAACTAAAAGATATCAGTAGGTACTTACGATCTGAACTAATTTTTTGCATGCCTGATCCAGTCAAATCTTTGTCGACATCCCTGGCCCTGCCACAAATTTGTTCGGCAAATTCCCGAATAGTTAACCGAGGAACATTCGAACACTGTTGAGCGGTGCATGTTGTGTGCTTTGTGGATGGTCCTTCGCATTCTGCACCAGAACCTTGAGGACTGGAAAAAATGCATGTATAAATTAAATTTAAGAGTTTAATGGAAAAAAAACTCACCAAGGGTTGTTGCAAGTCCTTTCTGACACCATTATTCCGGTACTTCCAGATCTCAACCTACCCTCTTCCCCAAACAGACAACCAGAAGCACAGTCACTAAAGGACCTCCATTTGCTCCATCCACCGTTTATCTTTTCGATACGCGATAACGTTTGCTGCGCGGAAGTGTATGCTGCGGTCATTACTAGACCTCTCGTTACACACCTGCCTCCTCTACACCACTGGAAAGGGTAAGAGATGACATTAAAACGTGAAGTTAATAAATTTTAAGTTGAACTTACCATACCGTTCCCGCACATAGTACCCTCTAGCGCAGGATGCGAGGTCCAAGTGTACCGTTCTCTCTCACAATGTAAATCTCGACAGACATCGTCCAGAGGCTGCTGAGATGAGTGTTTGCTCCCTCTTCCATACTTTAACATACCTAAAGTAATTGTAAACATATTTTACATTTACTAATTTTTTCTCAATATAATGTGCCATGATTTTTAACAATTAAATGTTTAATAAGGGAATTAATAATGAAGAAATCTGCAATAAAATAAAATAAAATCCGAATAGTAGTCGATATACTTGTAATAATAGTAAAAATTTGGTTCAAGGTTAACCAAATAAAAAGCTTTTGGACATGCAAACTCTCAGAAGCCAGGTGATTATTGAATAAATTACAGGAATACAACTTCAAAATCTAACATCCACATGCTCTTTCAGAAGAATAATGCAGATGAGTTTTCACAAATATGAGAGTACGAAATATTTAATAAATAAAGCCTGTTTATCTTATAGCGTTGATTGGCTCTTTGAAGTCCAGAAATTTTATGACTTTATGGGCAAAATAAAACTCAAATAAACCACATATCATACCCACGCTCGTATGATGTAGCGGGAAAATTCGTCGATAAAGACACAAGAAGAATTGGAATTAATATTTACTTCAATTATATTGACAGACAGATGGGTGTTTGTAGATAAAACATTGCATATTTTACTTCTGTACAAAAAAACTGAAAATACAAAAATTAATAGAAAACACAAGGAATGAATATAAATACCTAAGTGAAGTGAAGTTCTGGAATTATTGATCAGATTGACAAATCGAGATAAATAGTAGAGGTGTTCATAAAGAAAAACGTCGTCTATTTTATTGGATTCTGTACAAATAAACTTAACTAATAAAAACACACTAAAATTAACTTAAAAAATAGAAAAGTGAATAAAGTCTTAAAGCAAAATATAGCTCTTTTTGTCCATGTATTCCCAAAGTAGGGAAAATTTCTCCACAAAAATCGGACTGTTCTGTATAGCGTTTGAAAATTTCAACACTTTTAAATTTATTTTGGTCTATTATCAGAAAAATTGAACACCAAAAATAGCAACGCGGTATCTTGATTCATTTAAAAGAAGAGGCTATTTCTCATTTTTGGTTATTTTTTATAACTTATTTATAAAAAAAAAATATTTTTGTAAAGAATTTTTTTTATTCAGTTTTTCATGTAGATTTGGTTTTTCGCAGTACCTACTGTGAGTGGTTTAAAAAAAAATCAAATAAAAATGTTATTTTGCAGTAGGTACTTTACAAACGAGAACAAAAAAAAGTTAAATCGCTTTGCATTGCTTAAATGAATGAATCAAGATGTAGTTTCAGTCATTCATTTTTTTCGAAATTCGAGCTCAAGATATCTTAACAACTTTTTGTCTATCTCTTCAAATAATATGAAATTGACTCACTCTACAAAATCTGATAATCTGATTATAATGTTAGTACGTAACATCATATAGGAAATAATGCTTTGCCAAGCATATGGGTTTAACAGGTCGGGTAGGTACGGAGACACTTTGTACAGTCCTCTGCTTAGAATGACTATTCTAAAGTCATTAGCCAGCCATACACAGATGGATAAATACGTCGACTTTATCTTCCACATGACATGACAACCGACAAAGCTTCCTTATACGAGTATGCGATAATCGAACTAGAATTTGTATTGTATGAAAAATCTGCGAGTCCTAACTTTTCGTTTATGTAACAACCCGAGCCACGAGTCGCATCAGACAGATCCATAGTAGATATAGATGTTGCGTCTCAATCATTGCATTATTCATTTGATGAAAAAAGTATATTTTTGAGTAATAGTATATAATAATATTGTAGCAAATCGAAAGAAAAACTTTTAGTTTTCTTAAAAGGTCATGAGCCAATTTAAAACTGGCGTTTAATACCACTAACACTCAGATTTTAACAGACGTAATACGTGTATTATCATGACAGATTTGGTATGCAACGAGCCAGATATGACAGTTCAATTCCTACCAATTAAATTGGTCCAAATGGATTATCTTAAATCCATTACTGCTGATTACATCTATCCAATTGATTTCTCGGTTATTGCTGATTTTTCAATTCAAATTCTTTATTACATAAACCAAACTAAAAAGAACTTACATTGTTGGCTCGCGTCAAATCTCTCCCCCGGCAAAGCTCCCTCTGCGCTGTGATCCAACTGACCAGCGGAACTACCGTGGTCCAACAAACACCTAGATTGAGGAGTGCTGAAACAAAGACAACGTTTAATTTCGAATCTCTCACACTTACGACGACTTCTTACTCCAAGAATTTTTGCAAGTATCTCTTACTGCAGACAGACCACGTGATTTTGCCGCTGCCCAGTGTCGGAGACATGATGTAGCTGCTTGGATCGCACTCGTTTTCTGCCGAAGGCCCATCGTGGCGCATTCCCAAACTGAGATGATTAAGTTAAAAAAATCAAGAAATATAAAGTTTTAGACCAAAGAACCTTAAATATAAACTCAAGAAACTTTATATTTTCAGGAATATTTAGGTAGGCGCGGTACTATTTTAAAATTTCAACATGTAGTCTGTCGGAAGTCAATGACTCGAGACAGCTGAATCATTCTTATTCTAAAATAATGTAATAAAAATTTGCTAAAGCTATGTATAAACTTAGGAAACTCTATACAGGGTGTGAAAAGTTTGACTGCCATTACTTCAGCATGAGATAGAGTAATCATAAATGAATAAAAGAGTTGTATATAACTGGGGCGTAAGATTAACAGTTTTCAAAACACAGCGAGTATTAGCAATGGGGAGTTTAATCACTATGTGACAACAGCGCTTGACCTGCTATTGCACACCACGTGTACTCGCGGCAGACTCGTCCTACGGAAAAAAATTAAACAACTATTATTGTGAAACATTTAGTAAATTTCAAGACGATTGTTTTCTAATTTTTAAATAAATAAAATAAAATGTATTGATTTTGTAGTACGAAGATATAGACCAAGCAAATTAAATTTTTACTCGAAAAAAGTCCTATCCGCTACATTATTATAAAATTGTCTAAAGGAACATAATACAAGACATCTCTCGTCTCGTGAGTCAAAAACTTTTATTAGCTAACTTTTCTATTTAAACAAATAAGTGAGGAAAACAGTTTTTTCTCTTTGCAGGGAAAACCATCAATGTTAGCGAAAAGTGACTCTCAGACAGCTTATAGGGAGTAAAATTATCTACAAAATGAGACTGGTTAAATTAAAATCGGTTAATAAACAAAAAAGTTATTGCAAAAAGACAAGAAAAGTGCCCATTTTTTAATTTGTTTATAACTATCGCATTTATTGTTAAAATTTTATAAAACCTATGACAAGTTGAGGGTTTTATCATACTTTAAAAGTGTGCCAAAAGTGGGCGCTGTAGGTGCAATAGTTTTCGCACAATTCTATTTGTTTATAGC